AGGGGAGACTGAGAGAGAGATTAAAAGTGAGGACAGGGGGCAGACAGAAGAAAATTGGGAAAGAGAGGGATAGAGAGAGGGCGGGGAGAGAAGAGAGTGGGAAAAGTGTGAGGGAGCTCAGCATAGGAGCTGTGCCTGTGAGGTTGCAGAGCACCCTGGGGCCATGGTCAGAAAGCAGACAGGCAAGACCCTATGCTCCCCTCTTTCTCCACGATGGACACCCAGTTGGTGATCTGAAAAAGATTTGAGATCTAGTAGTGGATCCTATCTACTTGATTGAGACACCCACTCTAGATTCCTGACTATTTATTCCCAAAGCATTCAAAATTTCTATTTCCCTTGTGTAGTGTTAAATCAGGTTTGTCCCCAGCAAGCACCTCATTCCCCCATTTGCCCAGAGCATTTCCCTGTTTCTGTCCTCAGAGCTCCATGTCCTAGGAACTTCTCGGTCCTGGGCAATCTGTGATGGTTGGTACTAGACCACAAGCTATAGTGAGGGTTTCAATGCCAGGATAAATGATCCAGAGTAAACAGCTTCCAGTCTGAAAGTGAAGTATTCAGAATGATGTGTATAATTGGTTCCCTCTGAAACTCATGGAGATAGGCCACCCCCAGAAGGTGCAAAGAAGTTTGAGAGAATAGTGAGTTTCAAGATATCTAGCCGAGATGGGCGTGGTGGCACATGGCTATAATCCCAATTACTTGGAAGGCTGAGGCAGGAGGATTGCTATAGTTCGAGGTTAGCCTGGGCAACATGACAAGACCCCATCTTAAACAAATGACAACAACAACAAAAAAGCATGTCTAATTAAATCCAAAAGAAGGAGGGAGACTGGAGTAAGTGCCCACAAATTGACATATAGCCCTCTCATAATTTAGCTTTCACCCTACTTATTTTCTTGTATGTATATAGACTGGCAAATCACCCAACTTTCCTATACCTTGATGTTACAATTTAAAAGAAAAAAGGAAAACTTTTGTTATCATCTCCCTTTCTCATTTATTATGAGGTGGGCCTTCCTTCCTTCCTTCCTTCCTTCCTTCCTTCCTTCCTTCCTTCCTTCCTTCCTTCCTTCCTTCCTTCAACAAAGGGCATTGGATGAAGTCCATGCCCCTGTCACCTTTCAGAGTGAGGCAGTATCTGGTGGCAACACCCACAGGGTGCTCAGGAAACCCTTTTATCCTTAAATCAGCCATGGGTCTCTTGCCAGAAAAAACAAAACAAAACAAAACAAAACATGGGACAAGGATGCATATTATTTTAGACTATTATTCAATATAGTTAGATTATCTAACAGTCCACAAATAGCTTTTGATAACCTGCTGTCTGAAAACTTTGTATGAGGCAGGGAAAAGTATATTGAAATGTCTTTCATGATCAGGTGGTTCTTAGAAGTTTTATTTTGTTTTGTTTTATTATTCTCACATAGAGTAGAAGGGGTTGAGAAGCATCCTGTAGCACAGGTGAGAAACTGTAGAAGAATGATGGCCCTGAATCCAGGTCTTGCTGTCATGGGAGCAGCCAAAGGTTGATGGTATGACAGCTCAATGTGTTCTTGAGTTTCTTCAAGGTGACAAGAATCAGAACTGTTATCTAACTTTATCAGTATTCATTTTGATATTAGCTATCCTGGCAAACTTTTTAGATTTTGAAAAATGAAAAAACTTGTAATTTCCAAAGAAGCAAGTAATTGTTATTCCTCTGTGTCTCATGGATAAAGATGTGACCCTTTTTTTCTATTGCCTATGGAAAAACTAGCTCCATTGCCACTTTATTTTATAGTAATTTTCAAAGAAAACATGGCAATATTTATATGACTGTTCTCAGTATCAGCTGTGGTTTGGGAGGTGTGTAGCTTTAAAAACATCTTGGTGCTTGGCTCTCCCTCTAGACTCCAATCTGATTGGTCTGAGGTACAGCCTGGGCATAGAGATTTTAAAGTTGGGTAAGTCTAATGTTGAAAACTACTGATTTTAGGGCAGGGCACTGTAGTGCATGCCTGTAATCCCAGCAGTTTAGGAGGCTGAGGCAGGAGGATCACAAGTTGAAAGCCAGCCTCAGTAACTTAGTGAGGCCTAAGCAACTCAGYGAGATCCTATCTCTAAACTAAATGTATAAAAAAGGGCTAGTGGGGCTGGAGTTGTGGCTCAGTGGTAGAGTACTCACCTAGCATACATAAGGCACTGGTTTCAATCCTCAGCATCACATAAAAAATGAAATAAAGATATTATTTCAACATAAAACTAAAAAAAGAGGGCTGGGGATGTGGCTCAGTTAAGTACCCTGGGTTCAATACCTGTACCAAAAAAAAAAAAAAAAAAAGAAATGGAGACAGAGAGAAAAAAAAAACCCACTGTTTTTGATTAATTGACTATTGGATCAACATTTTATAAAAGATAGATACAATCAATATTCAGTTTAATTTTTTTACAATTGGAATGAAAATATGAAGTATGAAATAAAAATAAAAATTAAACACATATTAACCAAAAATGTGTTTATTAAAAGGATATTTTTTAAGCCAAATATAATCTTTACCCCATTTGTACTAATTTCATTAGAATAATACACTTTAGCCAAAGATTATGAGAGTTATGAGCCATGTACACATGGATTTATCATTAAAACCTGGAAACTGCACTCCTCCCATGCAATTTCCATATTTGGCATTGAGTCAAAACCACAAAAGGGAGATAGCTTCTAAAATGTGTTCCATTCTCATTTTGTGAGTTAGCAGCAAAGACTATTATCTTTAAAAGGCTTGGTGATCCTAAAATTTAACCTTGTGGAAATGAGGGACATCAGAGGTTGGCTGAAGGTCATGTAGCTCAGTGATGCTGAAGCCCAAGTCAACCCTGATTTCTGACTTTGATGCAAGGCTATTCCTACCCCCCTGTCTTTGCCTTTATAAGTATTTGGAAAATATAAACTGGGTTGAGATTGGAGTAGACAGTTGGAAAATGAAACAAAAGAAATATTTAAATCTTAGACTTTATCTGATAATATACTAGAATTATTCAGAAATAGACACTACAATACAAAAGTAGCCTCACTCTACTTTCCTATTTGCTAGATAAGGTTATCTTATTTGATGACTGTTCTGCTGTGCATCACTCCTGACAGGCTGCCGTATATCAGGTATTAATTGAGAAAAATAAAAAATTGATAAAGTGACTGAGTGTTTTTTAGGGTCCAGTTTAGACAAAAATAGGTTATGCTTCAAGAGTCAGGATTCATTGAGATTACAAATGTTTGTTTTACTTTCCATTATCCTAAAAAGCAATATGCAGCTATAAATGCTCAGAATTGATAAAGATGCAGGAAATTTTGAGGCAAGACCAAATTTTCTTGAAAAGAATGGATATTTCTTTCATATCCAGGTGAACCATAAATTTGTAGCCTTTATTAGATTTCCCAGGTCATAGAAGAATGACCCTTSGTGGGATGTATGGCACACAGTTGAGATTTATTTCTATATAGTTATACATAATCAAATCTAGCTATGAGGCATTTAAGAAGCATATTGTTTATCAGAGTACCTTTAGAAATAACACCGTTAAATTTAACCTAACTAAAACTACCTGATCTGATAAATTCTCTGGATAAGAGGAAAAAAGACTTCCTGATATGTTGTCATGGTGTGGATATTCTTTGAATTAAAATGTCATTAGGCAAGTATGTATTTCCATATCAGATATTTTATCTAAAATCTAAAAGTCCACACAGAAGCTAATTTGAAAGCTTGGGGAGTTGATTAATTGGTTTCTTAACTCGTCAYTGATGTCCCAGGTTTCTGCTTTTCCTTGGAACAATGACCCTTATGTTCATAGTTTTGTCAACTACATTTCCCATCTTGGAGACAAGGAACACACAGAAGGTGTTGCTAAATTGCATATGACTAATGAGCCATGGGAGAATTTAAATATTGTTTTTGTTTTGAAAATATTTGGATCAGAATATTTTTCCAAGATGAATTGGAATCCTGTGTTTACAAAAAGAAAAAGATGACAGATAGTTTTAGGGGAAAAATATCTCTTTACTTATTTAATTTAGAGAGTCCTTGAGGGCATTGAAAGGAACATTGGCCTTGGAAATTAAGCATTTAGTTTTGAGTCTCGTCTTTATTATAACTAGATATCTCATCTTTAGAAAGTCACTTGGCATCTCTGAAGTCAATCAYCTGAGAAATAGGACAATAACCTGAGGCATAGTCATTGTAGGGATGGTAGCAACTTATATRTTGTAATGCATGCTAAAGTTATTTTTACTTTCCATTAGTAAACTCCTTCAATTTTTTTTCTAGTCCAGAAATAACTGTAAGTTCACATGGAAATGTATTAATAGCTGGGACTGTGCGATCTCAAAATAGTGATATGTGATATATGCCTTTCAGTTTGGACAAGCAACATCTGCTGTATATTGTTTTTTTTTTTTTCTTTTAGAAAAAGAAAAAAATAACCGCTGTACTTTCAACATCAACTTTAGCAGGYATAGGTTGAGAACTTATCCTAATAAACAGAAATAACTGACAAAATTAACATGATTWTCTCAATTGGTACAATTCAAGTCACTGAAAGATCTGTCTGTATCACTTAGGAAAATCCATTATTTTTAGCTCACAAATGTCCAATTCATCCATTCAAAATYGTTCAAGTCATGATTGTGCAATGTTTAAGTATTGGCTACATTTTGACTTAAAGATCRCTTCTTTACCTTCAAGAGTTTACTTTTACAACCTAAGATATTTTTCCCCTAAGAGATGACCTCTTGAACTATCACATTTAAGCATAAAAATATACAAATTCAGTCAATTAAGAATTTTCATTTGTATACCAACTCAAAAGTGAAGGTTGACAARGAAAATTTTCCTGCTCTCAGTAAACTCTCTTGGATTTTTAAATTCTGGAGTGAATATGAGACTCTCTAATCTTTGGGCAGTGAGTAAAGGTRCACTCAGAGATGGACTAACCTGGCCCATGCTTCTCTGTTGTCTTTCCAGCAACACCCCTGAGTTCACTCAAGCCCCCACGGGTGGAAGCTGCTCCAGTGGTTGCATCTCCCTATCAAAGAAGAGATTCAGACAGATACTGTGGGCTCTGTGCGGCCTGGTTTAATAACCCTCTGATGGCCCAGCAGCATTATGATGGCAAGAAACACAAAAAGAATGCWGCAAGGGTTGCTTTACTAGAACAACTTGGGACCACCCTGGATATGGGGGAACTAAGAGGTAAGAGCAACTTTTCTAGCTTCTGCCAGAAACCTGGGCTTTCCAAGAAAGGATTGTGTTTTCACAAATTGAGATCATTGTTCTTACTGCTTTAAGAACAATGTAAGGAGAACATGAAGGTCACCCAAAAGAGATGGAAGAAAAAGAAAATGAGCAGCAAACTAGCTTTAGCCCAAACTTTGTAATCTCCTTTGTTTCAGTGTTTCTTTCCATATTTTGATTGACCTTCAGATCAAAGGCACCCATCCATGAATCAGATTTTTTCCCTTCTGCTTTATTCCTAACCCATTTTATCCTGTTGTCCCAGATGAGGAACATCTGTAAAAACTTAAATATAGTACATACTATATAATATAAATAGGTGCTATATCATACATTTATAATACTATGAATATAATTATAATATACAGTGATATTATAATCATAATGTAATAGTTATAATATTAATATAATAATATATAAGATATATATTATGATTTCCCACCTATTTTAGTATACCTGTGTCAATTTCATTAAAATATGCACAGAATTGAAAACTTAGGATTTAATGGGTTAACTATGTTCTCTAGTGAATGCTTTTGCAGATGAGCAGTATGAGAGAAGATGCTAAAAAGGCCAAAAAGCATTCTCTTATTTTAAACTTGTATGCTTTTATGAATTCAGACCAAACAATGGTGCTGGGTGGCACTATATAGCTATTTCCTCCTTGCTTTACCACAGCCTCTAACAGGTGTTTGGGGGCTACTGGAAACCACAACTCACTTGCAGTTTATGTGAGGAGTTTCAGAAGGTTGTGAGCAGACTTGGAAACTTCCTGTGGATGCCCTAGGAAGCCACAACCAATTCATGGGACTTCATGGACTATTTCCACATCAGCTACCATTAAAGCTTTCTTTGATCACCTGAACATTTTTGATCAGCTTGGTGTTGGCAGTGCAGAAGCAGAACAAAACTAACTGCATACTACATTTTAAAATGTGTTTTCCCAGAAAAAAATAATTCTGCAAAAGAATCCTGTTGATCTCATACCTCAGATTTGGTCTTTAAAATATCAGATATTGCTTTATTTTCTTGCCAGAGCACCATCATTCATAATAGCTGTTATGACAAAATTTACAAATTGATTTCGAGAATATAACCTGCATTTAAATTAGATTCTGCCTGTGAAATCTATTGTTCTTATTTCATCTGGATCAGGAACTCTAAGAGGAATAATTATTATAGGAATTGAAATGTCTGATCCTTAACTAAATAAGTGGGATACAAGATCTTGCTACCTGAACTGAGAGGAAGGACAGGTCAATTACAAATATATTGCTTGAGAAAGACTACCAAAGAAAAGGACTTCAGCTGGAACTGAAAGAGTAGGTGTAGTTTTAACARGCAAGAAGGCATGCCACCTGAGCAGAATCATAAATGTATGGGCAATTGGGAAGGAAGCATAAGCCATAGGCAGTTAATAAAYACATTATCCTTAAAGAATCCTTTATTACTATATGGATTTGAGATTAGGGGTCTATGAGTGCACCTATAGAATTTAGTTAAAGACATTTTTCCCCAAGATAAATGATTAAAATAATAACTGAGTGAACTTTAAAAAAGTAATTTTTGTGTTTGCATTCTAGCTATAGAAAAATGACATGGGGTTTGAGATTTCACTGTCAATAATCTCATTGTAGAGGTTTTGAGTTGTGGCATTTTAGCTTTTTGTTGGGGATTTCTTATGTTTTCAGTCTATGTCTTGTTAAAAAATATAAGACAAGTCTCTCTATAGCTGAAGGCCTACCCCCAACTCAGCTGTTACTGGCAGATAACAAGTTGGCTCAGTGACTCCTTCAYGGCAGGGCACTGAAGGAGAAAAATAGGGCTTTATTTATGTTTTGTGCCAGATATTATGACTTGAAGAAGAATTATTCCTAGAACACATAGGAAGACCTGTATATTTTGAATTATCTATGCTGCATCTTTTATGTACCACCACATCTTAATGACTTGGGCWTCTGAATTCTGTAACATTTGAGCAGCTTGTCTTTCATACAGAAGACAAWAAGGCTGCTCTTTGACTTGATAACTCAATGTGACTGTGACTCAGTAGCACATGGAATGTGATTAGCATTGAACGCAATGTCCTTGAATCCAACCCTYTTTACCCACCAAGGGTGACATTCTGATACATATTTATTCAAATATTAAATATTGCAAAATCTTGAGGAATGAAGCAACTATGGCAACCTAGCACTTCTGAAAACACACACACACACACACATACCTGCACACTTATTTCTAGAATGATTCTAAAGCATTAGAATCATTTGTCATTAATAAAGGCAAAAATGTTAATCAGTAAAGACAGGCATATCCAGAACCTTCAAAAAAAAAATGTCATCAGGCCGCCAGAGCATGATATGTCAGAGTGGTGGCAGGCTAGACGTTTTCTTTCTTTCTCCCCTAGCACATCTCATGTTTTTAAACACTATTATTTACTTATTTATGCTGTTTTTCTGTCTTCCTCCCTGCTCTCCAAGTAGATTGCCAACAACTTGAAGAAGACATCTATGTTTATTTTGTTCATTGATATCAGTGCTCAAAACACCTCCAACAGTGCCAGACTCCTA